TGGTGCTGGGAAAACTGGACAGCCACATGCAGAAGAATGAAACTGGACCATTCTCTAACATCATTCACAAAGATAAACTCAACTTGGATGAAAGACCTCAATGTGAGGCAGGAATACATCAAAATCCTAGAGGAGAACACAGCAGAAACATCTTTGACCTCAACCCAAGCTACTTCTTATTAGACACATCACCACAGGCAAGGGAAACAAATGCAAAAATGAACTTTTGGGACTTCATCAAGATAAAAAGCTTCTGCACAGCAAAGAAACAGTCAACAAAACAAAGAGGCTACCCACAGAATGGGAGAAGATATTTGCAAATGACACTACAGATATAGGGCTGGTATCCAAGATCTATAAAGAGCTTCTCAAACTCAACACCTAAAAAACAAATAATCAAATCAAAAAGTGGGCAGAAGATATGAAAAGACACTTCTCTGAAGAAGACATACAAATGGCTAACAGACACATGAAAAAATGTTCATCATCATTAGCCATCAGGGAAATTCAAATCAAAACCACATTGAGATACCACCTTACACCAGTTAGAATGGCAAAAATTGACAAGTCAAGAAAACAAATGTTGGAGAGATTGTGAAGAAAGGGAACCCTCTTACACTGTTGGTGGGAATGCAAGTTGGTACAGCCCCTTTGGAAAACAGTGTGGAGGTGCCTCAGAAAATTAAAAATAGAGCTACCCTATGACCCAGCAATTGCACTCCTGGGTATTTACCCCAAAGACACAGATGTAGTGAAAAGAAGGGCCATATGCACCCCAATGTTCATAGCAGCAATGTCCGCAATAGCCAAACTGGGGAAAGAGCCGAGATGCCCTTCAACAGACGAATGGATAAAGAAGATGTGGTCCATATAGACAATGGAATATTACTCAGCCATCAGAAAGGAGGAATACCCAACTTTTACATCAACATGGATGGGGCTGGAGGAGATTATGCTAAGTGAAATAAGTCAAGCAGAGAAAGTCAATTATCATATGGTTTCACTTATTTGTGGAACATAAGGAATAGCATGGAGGACATTAGGAGAAGGAAGGGAAAAATGGTGGGGCGAATTGGAGGGAGAGATGTACCATGAGAGACTATGGACTCTGAGAAACAAACAGGGTTTTAGAGGGGAGGGGGGAGGGGGGATTGGTTAGCACGGTGATGGGTATTAAGGAGGGCATGTATTACATGGAGCACTGGGTGTTATACGAAAACAATGGATCGTGGATCACCACATCAAAAACTAATGATGTATTGTATGGTGACTAACATAACATAATAAAATAAAATAAAAATAAAAATAAAAAAATAAAAAATAAAAAACAAACAAGAACCAGACACAGACTCATAAATACAGAGAACAAACTGATGGTTGCCAGAAGGGGGAGAGGTGAGGGGATGGGCAAAATGAAAGAAGGAAAGTGACAATACAGGCTTCCAGTAATGGAATAAATAAATCATGGAGATAAAATGTACAGAATGGGGAATATGGTCAATGCTATTATAATAGCCTTATATAGTGTAGCTACACTTGTGATGGACAAAGCATAATATCAGACTTGTCCAATCTCTATATTGTACTGATCTGAAACTGATACAACATTGTGTGTCAACTATATATACACATTATGAAATTAGCAACAAAATAAAAATATAAGTTTAAATTGAAAAAAATAAGCCATAAAAGTGAATGATAAGTTTTGTTGGTACATATTCTATGACCTAATAACAGCATTACTCTTGATGGGTATTAGAGTGGTTTCTAGTCATTTTTTTCTTAAATTATGAACAGATTGGTTAAACAAATTATGGTATTCATACAATGGAATAAAATGCAGCACTGAAAATAACTCACCGCTACATGTAACAATAGGGTAACTTACAAGCATAATGCTGAAAAAGGAAGCAGCATAAAATTATCCATACTATAGTATACTGTTTATATAAAGTTCAAGACAGACAAAACCTTTAAAGAAGGTGGACAGAGCAATGGTTGCAGGGGGTAATGTTTGAGAGGGGACATGAGGAAGGGCTGTTTAGGGCTGGCAACATTCCGTTCTTTCTTTTTTTTTTTAAGATTATTTATTTATTTGACAGATAGAGACACAGCGAGATAGGGAACACAAGCAGGGGGAGTGGGAGGGGGCCGAGCAGGGAGCCCAATATGGGGCTCAATCCCAGGACCCTGAGATCATGACCTGAGCTGAAGTCAGACGCTTAATGACTGAGTCACCCAGGTGCCCCAACATTCCAGTTCTTGACTTGGGTGTTGATTTCACAGGTGAGTTCAGTTTATGATAATTCATCAAGTAGGATGCTTGTGATTTATGTACCTTTCTATATGCATATTTGAATAAAAAGTTTACTTTTATATGTAGTTTTTAAAAGTTTTTGGCAATTCATATTGGTTAGGATAGTTTTTCTAAAGTTGATATGCTATTTGAGAAATTTGCAAAAGAATCCTCCTAAAAATGCTAAAATGTTGGCAAAACAGAAATTGACAAGAGTTCAAAGGAAATCAGTATAAATGGGAAAACTCCCATTGCAATGCAGACATTTTAGATAAAGTCATAAGAATAATATATTCGTGAATATATTCATAAGAATGTTTACATTTGAAACCATATTCATCTTGACTATATTCAGTAAATGTATTCAAAATGAGAATCAGTAAATTTGGTATATCCAGCAATGAGCATATTCAAGAAAAATATGTTTCATGAATATATTCATAGAATTGGTAAATCTGTCAAATTTGGTGAATTGGCTTTTGGCAAATTGACCCAGAGGCCCTGCTGGAAAGTGGGGAGGGGAGGGTGTCAGCAGCTTATCACCAGCTGGGATAGGCCAAATATTAGCTTACCAGGAATATTTCTTAGAACTGGAAGGAAAAATATGAATTCCAACTCCTGCACAATCCTCTTGCCTCTACCCCTACTCAAGCCACTGACCTGACTGTGTAAGATACAGCTTCAGCCACCTCCTTCTGACTCTCAGAGAAGGAGACATCCAGACCATTCTAGAATAGTTAGCTGCCATTACCATCCAAAACATGACTTGCTCTGCATAGCTTGATATTAAACGGAGACTCTCCTGAGCATTCAGTGACTAACTCTTAGGGAGAGTTTCAGAGTGGGCTCTGAGATTATCTGAGATTAACCCTACCCAGTGGCTAAACTAGTCTGGTTCCAAATGGCAGTTGCTCACATTTGCTCCACTGACCCAAAACACACAAATGGTTGAGCAAACGTCTTGGCTATCCCTTTATCTGTGCCTCATGCCCCAAAGGCAGTCTGCGGGAGGATAAAGAAGATTGTATGAAGGTAGGGATTCACCCATCACCAGGGCAGAAGGTACTGTCAGACCTCAGACCTGCAGAGTCACTGCTGATCTCGATCCTTCTCCCTCAGAACGATTAATATTTACAATTACACCCAGCCTGCTGTTCCCTTGTGTGTGTGAATGCATATGTGTTTGGGGGGACCCAGACTGCAGAAAATGTTTGCCTCCAGCTCTGTCACACACCACCTACCCCTACCCCCAAACGTCCCTGAAGCAGCTCCAGGAAGGGTCATTCTCTGGACTGGGCATCCCAGGGAGTGCTGGCCAGCCCTGGTGTCCAGCAGAGGGGGCCCATGGTCTGCTCTGCCCCCAGCCTGCCCCCCTCAGCATCCTGGACTCAGGCTCTCCTGTTCCACTCTGCTGTCCTGTCCTCCCCGCAAGTGAGCCTCACAGCCTCTCCTGCTTCTCTGCTCATGGGTCTTCATGGGCCAGCCTGCCTTTTTCCCCAACTCCCTGCCCCTCTGTCTTCTGCCATCGTCTGTGAAGTACTACAGGACAAGAGTAAGGGATGAATTCTGAAGAACAACATCTGTGTTCCAATCTTGGCTGTACCACTCCCTGGTGACATGGCCTCAGGCAGCATGTCCCCATTTTAGACATGAGAGAACAGATGCACCCACAGGGATGTTGTGAGAACCAATGAGACCATCCATGTGGAAAGTTTCATGCAGTGCTTGCTACATGGTTCTCATTGAATTACGAAGTGCCATCTGGTAAAGGCCTGTGTAGGAAGGGTTCCCTAACTCAGAAAACCAGATACTTCCAGAGATTACTTTGCTAATTTCCTACTTTTCTGAATAGCTCACACTTAAAATAATGTGTCCAGAGGTCTTCTATGAACTTAGTCCCTCTTGGGCAGGGTAAAGATTGATGAGCTCAACACATGCCAGGCCCTGTTCTAGGTATTTGCAATTATCATCATCTGTTCAGCATTTCTGTCCCATGCGGGGGCAAAAGTCAACAGACCTCCCACCCTGGAGAGTATACAGGCTGAGGCATAGGAAACATGTCACATGTTTGGCACATGTGCTAATATAAACAAGTGCGTATATCTACAATAATCATAGTTTTAAATTTGTCTTTGGCTTTGTTTTTTTTTTTTTCGGGAGGGGGCAGGGATTGAGAATGAGAAAGTTTTCCTCCATCCCTGTTCATTGATTTCCACCTCCGGGCCCTCCCACATGCCTCTTCACTCTAGGCTTCCCCACACCCTCAACCATACCTTCCACTTTGGGCTTGGCCTCGGCCAGCCGCTCCTGGAACTTCTTCTTAAAGAACAGGGCCTGCAGTCGCTGCTGGTAGTGGTCGATCCTGTGGACAGGGCAAGCTACATCGTAAGACAACCCCTCCAGCCCAGGAGCTAGCTCCAGCCCCTCCTCCATGCCCATTGCCCTGACCTGCTCATTTCATAGAGGAAGCGGTCAGCGCGGGCCATCCGCTCTATCTCATGCTTGTGCTCCTCGAGGAGGTCGATGTCACTTTTCTCTGGGATGAACTTGAGGAGCTGCAAAGAACATCAGATGAAGGTCAGACAGGAAACTGGTGAGAAGCTGATATGGGGGTGCAATGCATGGATGCCCATACACTGATCATGTTCAAGATGGGGAGGGGTCCTTAAAAGAGAGAGGCATCCTCATGTGGTGGGTTTATGCTTCATCTGCCTAAAAGGGGCCACAGGGCACCAAGCTCTAGACATTTTTCACTTTTTAAAACTGAGATGTACCTTATATATAGTATACCATTCATTTTTTTAAATTTAATTTTATTGTGTTATGTTAGTCACCATACAATACATCATTAGTTTTTGATGTGGTGATCCACGATTCATTGTTCTCATATAACACCCTGTGCTCCATGCAGTACGTGCCTTCCTTAATACCCATCACTGGGCTAGCCCATCCCCCCACCCCCTCCCCTCTAGAACCCTTAGTTTGTTTCTCAGAGTCCATCATCTCTCATGGTTCATCTCCCCCTCTG